ATATACTGGGCATATAAAGGTCTAACACAATACATGTATTGAATGTACTTATTTTAACCAATTCATTGTTTTGTTTTTTTAATCTCACAAATAGGTAAGAAATGTTTTATAGTTTTTATTATAAAAAACAATGATTATACAATTTATTTGCACCCCTTACACTGTTTTCTGTAAGGGGTGTAACCAGGAGTATATTTCGTAACCTCTTACGATAATCTAAATAATCTAAAATTCTAAAAAGTGTTTTATTACTTAATGCTTAGATTAAGATTTAATAATAAATTTGTACATAAAATAAAATAGACTAGAAAGTCAATTAATTAATATTGACGTAATTACTAAATAACTACCAGAATTTTTTTCTTATTATTTTAGTGTATTTTTAGTCACCTAATTATAAAGGAGAGATATCCAACCATTGCATTATTTTACTCACAAATAAATGTTTTATGGTTTTTATTATAAAACAAGGATTCATTTATTATACACCCCTTAACCCAAACGCTCCAAGGAGGATATTTCGTGACCCCTTATTTAAAGTGGACAAGCTTTATTAGTCAATGTTTTAATTACCCAGCGTCTTTAATAAAAATCTAATGTAATTTTTCATAGAAATGATCTGACATAAAAAGCAAATTTTATCTAAAAACTTTTTGATTATCTACAAGGAGTAAACTACTGACAAATGTCTGTATACTAATACCAAAGTAATGCCAAAAATACAAATTAAATACCAAAATTTCTCATATAATGACCCACTAATGCCAAGCTGATTCCAATATAATACCACTAATACCACGAATAATATGTAACACATTTGTTTAACGAATTAACCTGTAACAATAGTGGTAGGTACGAGCACAGATTTTTTCCTAGGTAACTTAAAAGTCGTTAAAAAGTCTAATTATATTTAAGGAAGAATTCCAACTAATTGCAATACCATTAAAATTTTAGCGTTTTTAATTTGTGTAACATATTTCTTTAAAAAATTAACATGTAACAATAGTGGTAGGTACGCGCACAGATTTTTTCGCTAGGTAACTTATTAAGTCGTTAAACAGGCCTATAAAAGCTATAACAACATAGGTAACTAATATTTTTAATTTTATTCGAGTTTTAATCTGAAATAATAAATGTTTTTACTGGTGTATTTCTGAAGTGTTCATTATTAAAAGTAGATATTCTTCAAGTTATGTGAAGTAATAAGTAATGTTTCCGGTGAGACCGCGTATATGTCACCGGATTCTGGTTAGTATAAAGGCTTTTTTCTATAGAAAGAGTTTTTTCTATATTTTTCTTTCAAAATAGGACTAATTTCTTCTTATTCTTTTAAATATTACAGTGTTTCTTTTTCCTAAAATGTTATACTTAATTTTCGCTTAAAATTAAAAAATCACAAATTGAGGAGAATATACGTTATTGAATAAAGTTTATACAAATCACTTTACCATAACAAAAAAGTAAAAACATGTCATGGCGGAAGATGTGGCATTTTACATATTTATCTATTAAAATCGAGATTAAAATAATAAACTTGCGTAACATGTTATACATGAGATAGAAAGTTTCAGAATCGATTAATACGCAACACGCTACGCAGTCAACTTATTCCTATGCGCGGATGAGCGTCTTCAAGACTCTTCCAACGGCCAGGGTCACGACGCAGCGCGCCGCCGAAGAGTAATCGGCCTACGTTTGGCTAAACAGGCTGGACACGGTGGACTACGATATTGGCGAGTCTGAATACTTATAAAAATTTGCAAAGTAAAATATGTTGGAAAAATAATTAATCCATACATATATAAAACCTCAAAGGTTTTTTTTGTTGCATCCATGCTGCCGAAACCGCTTCACCAATCTTGATGATTCTTCTTTTAAATGAAAGGTATATATGTGTAGATTTGTTATGAAGTATTTTTATAGTGCTTAATGGCTATTTCTTTGTGTAAAACGACTAATGCAGACCGGTCTACCTAGTGGTCTGCAGCATCGCCTTGTGGTGCAAACGTGGGCCTGTTAATCTGTGACGTGACGCACAACAGCCAAGAAAAATAGAAGCGTGGCTTAGAATTTAGTAATTTAAAATAAATGTCTTTTAGATACAGTAGTAGGTATTAAAAAGTTTTGTGTTTAAATGGGGTTTGCCTTTAACAGTTAAAAAATTATATCGTAAAGTGTAACTTTCCGTAAGAATTCTTTATCTGTCATCGATCATGATCTGTCATCATGTTAACCTGATGTTTTGTATGTTATTTTGTTTTTTTGCTTGCTTGTTTTACGGATAGGTGCGATCGCATAATTATTATTGATAATGTTTTATTTAATGTTAACATTACTACTTTTTCAGTGAATCTTTAAATCTTTGTTTTTTGTTAAGTTCGTTATTTAAACATATATATGTAATACACTCATATTAACACTAATCATATTTTTACGTTTTTATTCATCATTTTCAATGCCCCCCCCGGTTGCATCTTTGTAAAGGACTGTGAATTTTTTCTCTGGATTATTGATATTGATATTATTATACACAATATTCAATTTAATTATTTTTTAAGAAGTAGAGTGTAACACTGTCCTAGCTGCGTTGGGGCGGGGCTACTCTGTGCTGGGTGCCAGACCACAGCAATGTGGTGGGCAAAGACGGGGCCAGGGTCTCCCCTGCCAGAGTCTCCCCTGGCCTCTCGGCCGTGGCAAATGACCCACCACTTGTGACGATCAACACACTGAAGGAGGCTATAGTAACTGCCAAAACCAAGCAGCAAGAGACGTGGCAACACCGTGAGGACTGCGTTACAGCACGAAGACTATGGCCAGTGGTAGATAGCAAAAAGACAAAATAACTACTAGAGCACAAAAAGGACCTAGTACGTATAATTGTAGGTGTCGTCACTGGAAACTGTCCCACGGGGGTAAACCTCGTAAGATGGAAAGTTTCCGACGACGACTACTGCAGAGAATGCAGAGAGGAAGAAGAAACCATAGAGAACCTGCTGTGCAACTGTCCGGCACTGGAATACCCATACTTTAAAACTTTAGGTCAAGATTTTTGGAGGGACTAGAGGAAGCAGCAGAAGCGAACATCAGCGACATCGGGAACTTTGCAAAGAGCTGGAAGTGCTTTAACGCAAAGAAAGAATGAGAGGAAGGTTTGGTAAAACAATACAGGGGTATCGCAATGGGCCCAAGGGCTCCGAGTGAGTGCTCAAATATGATCCCAAACCCCAGTAACCTAACCTAACCTAACCTAGAGTGTGGGCTGTATGGGAGGGGGGATATTAATCGCCGCGACCTTATATTTCTATTGTGCCACCTTCCTTGAGTTATAACTCATCATACAATCTCAGAGCTTTGATAAAAACCAGTATCTGAGACGGTTTTACAGAGGTTAGTACAAGTTTTCATAGAGGAGGCAGTGTCCTGTTAAAAACCCCGTGATAATCCGAATATAGTTCTGAGGAAAATTTTTGATTTTTAGTTGTCAATGTCTTGAGAAATTTCTTCGAGTATCTTAGACCGTAGGAAGGTCCATATACCAGCTCTTGGCATTGAGTCTTTCAGGTTTTTGAGTTCCGATTTATGTTGGAGTCCACTTAGGAAGCAGAACGGTTCTGGTCCTGTTAGTGGAGTCTTCCCTTCTTTCCTATCTAGATCGTTTGCTTTTCCATTACCTTCTATCCTTTGGTGGGCTGATACCTATTGTAGGAGAACTTTTTTTTCTTTGTCTAATTTGTTCGGCTTCTTTAGTCATACCTTCACAAACTTCGAATTGATGGATACTGTTTTTAATGCTACTTGACTATCAAATAAGATACCTATTTTCGGTTTCTGGTAGTTCTTATCTAAGATAAGTTCTGTGTCGGCAAACGTTCTCTCTTTCAATTATTTTTATTGCCCAATACTACAGTGAGGTGTTTCTCCAGTCCTTCCATTCCTACTCAACTACTCAGGAAAGTTGAGTAGGAATGGAAGGACTGGAATACTAACTATATCAATGAAACATATTGTTAAAACTTTATATTTTTTAAATTTCGTCACAAGTTCAATACACGAATCAATTGTTATTAAGCTAAAACTAACACTATTTTCCTAAGCTGCTGACTTAAATGCTAAGGTGTTTGCAGTGGAGTGCGGCTATATCAATAGCATTATTTAAGCGATTTAATTTTAGTTTTGTTTTAACTTTATAGCAACCAACTCAAGACCATGGAGGGTCACAGTTAGCCTTTTAGTAAAGATCTAACTTTATTTACAAATCTAAATTTATTTTAAATTCCTTGGTAGAGTCCAAAATCCGAAATCCCCAAAATCCCTTCAGGGCTGGTAGATCTCGATTAAAGAAACATATTTTCTCTTTGTCGTTTTTCAAATAAGTCCAAAATAATGGAGATATTTTCCTTTTTCTGAGAAAATTAAAAAAAAAATCCAAAATTTTTTTCAAAAAATTTCAAATTTTCAAAAAAAATTTCGCGAAAAGAACCTCACAGACGATTAGATTGGGTCGAACCTCATTCTGTTGTCGAAATTGCACTTACTTAAGACTCATCCTGTATACCAACTGATGGAAGGTGAAATATCTCAAAAATAAGTAAAAAAACTGCGATTAAAAAAAACGGAAAAATCGGCGTTAACTCATTTTATTAAAATTTGAATGGGACTACACCACTAAGAAAAACTTACTGTCTTCGTACAAAAGTTCACGTTTTCAAAATATGTGCTTAACATTTCTAGTGTCCCAGAAATAATAATGTAGAAGGGAAAATGATCCTTTACATCCCACCAAACTATCGAAGAGCTACGGGTTTCCTCCCGGAAAGGTTTACCTCGGCAAGATTTTGTCAGGATTGGTTTTGATGCAGACCAGTGTAATTTATATGAATATGTATTTTACGATTTTTATGTAAAATAAGCGCATCTCAAAGTCAGCTATTGATGTAATGCGGAATTATTATACTTAAAATGTTCTTGATATAGTATCACTTGTCATTTTGTTTTTGTAGGTGAAGCTTGTGACGAAATAGATTGTGAAGATCCTAACTGTTCAGAACATGGTGCTTGTGTACACGGCCAGTGTTATTGTAAAGCAGGTTGGAAAGGACCAAACTGTGATGTGATTGATGAGCAAGTACACAAATGTTTGCCCACTTGCTCAGAACATGGCATGTATGATTTGGAAACTGCTAAGTGCATCTGTAACAGACACTGGACTGGGCCAGATTGTTCACAGCGTAAGTAAACTTAGCTCATTTTATGCTTCTATTTTGATAATGAAAATTAACCACTTCCTAAATAAACAGCGATATTTTTTTACCCCTTAGTTATTTTACTCTTTTACAAAAAATATATATAACATAATGAAAATAAATATATACGTGTAATATTATCTTTCTAAAATGTATGTTAGATTGTCTGTATTAGAAAGTATAGTATTTAATGTTGCCGCTTTTAGCGAAACCCACTTTGCAGATGAAGGTAATCTAACTGAGGAGCACTACAACTTTTTTTGGAAGAGTCACCCCGCAACACATAGGAGAATTCATGGCGTAGGCATTGCAGTCAAAAACGAAATCGCTACCAGATTAACAGAAGTACTCTATTGATGTCTCCGGACACCTCATGACCCTAAGGTACCCCATATTAGACAAAACTTACGTCAACAACATTAGTGCCTACGCTCTCAACCTAGACGCTAAGATTTATAATAAGGATAGATTTTACCAAGCTCTACAAAATGCTCTCCAACGAATTCCAAAGCAGGACCAAATCATCTGGCTAGGTAAATTTAATGCCCGGCAATCAGCAAAAAATATGGCCTGACGTTTTGGACTTGGAGTGGAAAACGCAAACAACAATGGTGAACGCTTACTAACAACATGCACAGAGCACAATCTTTGCATCACCAATATATGGTTCAAGCTAAACAACAAGTTTAAGGGAACCTGGAAACATCCCAGATCAGGCCACTGGCATAAATTGGACTACGTAATTGTTCGAAGTGCGCATCTAAAATATGTCAGACTTACAAAATCCAGAGTAGATGCCGAATGTGGTACTAAACATCGACTTGTTGTTTCAGAAATGAAAATTCAATTAAGACCCAAACATCCACACTGTCAGAAACAAAACAACATGGTCAGATTGAACGTACGGAGTCTAGAGAACAGCGATACCGCCAACGCCCTCCGGGAGGCCATCAAAGAAGCATTTCCACCCATAACCTCAATCTCGGAAGCTAAACAAGGTTGGACACAATTGAGGAATGTGATTTATAATACCAGCGAAGCAGTACTGGGAAAATCCAACAAAAAGAAACAACCAGACTGGTTTAACGAAAATCGACCGCATATACAGGCTTTGTTGGAACAAAAACATAGAGCACATCAAGCAGTCACTGCAAATCCACACAATCAAACGCTGGTGGACAACTTTACAGTAGCCAACAACACGCTTCGAAGAAACCTTCGACATATAAAGGACAACTGGTTGTTGCCAAATAAGAAAAGCCAATAAGATTCAAGAGTACGCCGCGCAGCACGACTATCGTAAACTTTTCGATCCTGTAAAAGAAGTATACGTCCCAACTAAGAATGTAAGCTGCCCAATCAAGGCACAAATCGGTGAACTTCTAAAAGAGGAAGAGCAAATTAGAAATCGCTGGAAAGTGCATTACAGCCATATCCTTAACCAAGACAACATCCCCAATATGGAAGCACCAGACACAATCCCTCAGTATAACAGCGTATGTATTAGACATTCCAATAACGGAAGAGGAAATAAATGCCTCCATAAAACAACTTAAAGACAACAAATCGGCTAGCTCTACACGATTTCAGCGGAAATCTATAAGTGTAGACGTAAAGAACTTATTGATCACCTTAAGGCTCTCTTCGATGTTATGGAAAGCGGAGAAAATTCTTATAAAAATTATGCCAAACCGCCTGCACCCACATATATAATATATGTGTTATTTGCTATATAATATATTGTTATATAGTTTTATTGCTATATAATATATTGTTATTGTATTATATTATAATATAATAGAAAAATATCCTCCCAAAATCGCAAACGGGCTTTCGCACCAACCGCGGTACCGTTGATTCCATATTCTCCGTCCGCCAACTACAAGACAAAGTAAAGGAGCAGCAGAGTAAACTTTATGTTGCATTCATCGACCTAACAAAAGCCTTCGACTCTGTAAACATAGTTGTACTTTGGGCAATTATGAACAAGTTCGGAGTACCCAACAAATTTCTTACAGTGTTTAAAAGCCTCCATAACAACAAGTCGAGAGTGTCACATTATGGATCACTGAGTGATCCCTTCCTGACAAATACAGGAGTTAGGCAGGGGTGCCTCTTAGCTCCTCTCCTATTCAATAGTTTCATAGTAGCGCACCCTATTATAGTGGACAGCAAGTTGCAGGAAAAGGAATGGGTGTTAGATACAGGTATAACAGAGGTATATTCAAAATAAAATGACTTAGGGCAAAAACACGTATAAATTTAATCACAGATTTTTTCAATACGCTGCGCTTGCGCAAATATGTTACAGCAGTTACAAGAAATGCTGAATACATATATCTGGGCATACGAAGCTGTGGGCCTTAAGCTGAACATTGATAAAAATAAAATCATGTGCGGAACTAATAATTAAAAGTGCTATAAAAATCGAAGAACTACTGGAGTTGGGGGCATTATGACGAGGCTGGAGTCCTTGGCAGGCAGCGTAGTGGTGGATCAGATATGGCGGGAGGCCATGAAGAACGGCCAGCTTTGTAGAGGTGTCGAAGCGGCCACAGAGGACGCGGCTAGCAGGAGTTGGATTGTCGGGAAGCCGAAGGGCTGGACTGGGCGTGATTTCGTAAGAGCCATCCAGATCCGAGCGAACGCTCTTCCTTGTGCTGGACTCCCCTCTGTACCGGCCGAACAACGGCGTTTGCAGACACACGGGCTGCAACGCGGTAGAGACTATGTCTCATATTTTGCAAAAGTGCGATGGGGTGCACGATACTAGAACATCGCGTCATAATGACATGGTACGTAAAATCGTTAACCACTGTAAGACCAAGTGGGAGACAGAGGAGGAACCGCATGTTCGGCACAAGGATGGAACTTTGTTCAAACCGGACATCGCGATTCACAAAGACGGCAGCAATGTCGTTATGTGTGAAGTAACGGTGTCTTGGGAAGGAACGGGTGGGTTGATCGAGTCGTGGAAGCGCAAACGTGCCGTATATGCTAACGAGAAATTTCTCGAAGCGGCGCGCTCTAGATGGCCCGGTAAGGAGTTCCATTTCTGTCCCCTTGTGATCGGGGTGCGCGGCATTTGGCCGCGGTGTAATGAGCGGACTGTTCAATATCTGGAGCTGACAAAACTTTTAAAGGCAAGTTACATCCATGGCGTTCTCAAATGGGGCTCCACGATACATGCGACGTTTATGCGCCGTGTGTGGGCTAAGAGCCGTTAGTAGGTGTGTTAGCAAGCTTTTGGCCATATACAATCCAAGGCCCATGGCGTGACCGCAAAGTCCCAGCCATGACAGCTATGTACAAGCAGCACCCTGTACATATTTCTTTTTCAGCTTGCTACTGGAACTACTGGAATATGTAGCGGAGTTCAATTACCTCGACAGTTTGATTTCGGAAAAGGAAAATATCGACCCTGAAATTCAGCCTAGAAATAGCAGCGCTTCAAGAGCATTATGGAAATTAAAAGTCAGGGTTTTCTATAATCATACTTCAGCACAAAAATGAAATTTGCAGTGTACAGAGCAATAATACCCCTAACATGTTATATGAAAGCGAAATATGGGTGCCGTACTGCCGGCACCCGAACGCATTAAACAAGTTGCAACAGAGACACCTTAGAGAACTGTTAAGAATCAAATGGTACCACCATGTCTCAAACGTATCAGTCCTTGCAAAAGCTAGCTGCGAGAGCGCTGCAGTCATAATGACTAAATCCCGCTTAAGATGGGCTGGTCACGTATGCAAGATTCAGGAAGGCCGCTTACCGAAATCTCTTCTTTACGGTGAGCTTGTAGAGGGTAAGAGGAAACCGGGTGGCCAAAGTATTTAATAGTACATAACTAAACAATTCCTTTAGCAATGCAAACTACTATATCTTATGGAATAATATTATAGTCGAAAATCTAAATTCCTAGATATTTGAATCAGTCAAGGGTATATTTGTCTTGGTACCTAACCTAACCCAACAACAGTTAATTGAAATATCTATGGATCATATAGCCAATTTTTAAAAAGTATTAATAGGTGCTATGCATATTTAAAAATTATTATTGTTAAATTGTTTTTAAAATTACAATTTATGTACTTTTTTAAGTCAATTTTATATCCGAGCAGAACTCTAGAACTAGGACTTCGTATTACTATTACCTTTTCATTCTATATAATGTCATATACTATTTAGTTTGAATAATAATTGAATATTATTTTTATATTATGCAATAAACCATGCAATCGCCAAGAAAACGATGTTAAAGACTGCTGGGGAATGACAATCGATGATAATTGGCGAGGTCAAGCTCTAGACGTCATTATTTCGCCCGTACTCTTCATTATGTTTTATTGGCGCTTACTGCTAGTTGGCCTTAAGAAGGTTGTAATTTATTTCTATATTGAGTAAAAATTATTTTTAAATGGTATAATTTAAAATTCGTGAAAAAATATTGTTTTTAAAATAGATTTGTATGTCTAGAAACGTTCTTTTCCTTTTGCAATCTTTCTATAATTAGTGTTTGACAAGCATTATTTCAAATTTTAGTAAATTACGTCTAGAGATTCACCTCGCCAAAATTATCATTTTATTGTCATTCCCCAGCCACCTTTCATGCCGTTGTTATTCGATCGTTAGTTTACATTTCTGTTTTTCGTTAGGTTACACAAAAAATATTGTGTTGTCAATCTGAATACTAATAGTCTAATTGACTACGAGTAGTATCTAAATATTAATTTATTTTGATGTATAAATTATTTTGTAGCTTCTAATCTAAAGAACTTTAAGAATTAAAATGCACTAGATTTTATTTTCTTATTTCAGCACTTTGTAACTTGGATTGTGGAGATCATGGGCATTGTGAGCTTGGAAAATGTCACTGTGATCAAGGCTGGACTGGCCCAAGATGCGAGCAATTGCCATGCGATAATCGATGTCAGGAACATGGGCAGTGTAAAAATGGAACATGTGTTTGCTCACAGGGATGGAATGGTCGCCATTGTACATTACGTAAGTAATGTAGTATGCAACAAATTTCTGTCATATCTTTTTCTAATGTATTTAAACAAATATGAAAAACAAACATATAAATATTTTACCTATTCTATTGCTTCCGGCGTTGGTAGCAATCTTCTAAAATGTGTTTAATCATTTGGACCCCCACATTTACATGAGGAAAATAAGAGTTTTCCCCATTTGTTTAAGAAATATTCACATTTTCCTTGTTGGAACCGATATGATTTAGTATGCAACGAGTAGTGTTTGTGAGGTAAGTTAAAACCGGAGGGGTGGGGGGTTAGTTATGCAGGTCATAGCAGTGTCGGCTCGTGACCCTTGTGACTGTGTAGGCGATAAAATCTTAGTTGCGTTTATTTGCCCCCCCCATTTACATAATACCCTAACCCAGTTTGTAAATATATGTTATCTCTAGGTTAAAAACATAACTCAAGAATATATAGGACAAAACTAAAGCAAAAATCACAGCTTTCATTGTAATGACATAATGTACAAGTATATGTTTTTTTATCTATTACTATTGTCACTATATAGAGTGGCTATAAAGTACATCATAGAATTTGATTTTATTTTTATTTATTTATGCAAACTTAAAAATTGGTAGTATTGAGAGAAAAAATAATTATGTTTTATATAATAAATTGACGAGTCTGTCTCTTAACAAAGAAGAGTTATTTATATAACTCTTTTTAATAATAATATTATATCAGTAAAAAATCATCAGATGTTGAAGAGCTGTGAAAAGATCTTTTTAGATTGAAAGTAAGGCAAGTGACGATAAACGTTTATTTTTCATGGAATCTCAACTATAAATTTTAATGCATTTCAAACACGAAAATTGTCTCTCAACCCAATTACTTGTAAATGGTGTAGTAACAAACAAAAGAAACAATTTGAAAGCCTCTGGAAATATATTTCCAGGATTATTCTACTTATATTATTTTATAATCGTATTATCGAATCTATTATTAATGCCTGCAATTTATTCATTAATTTACGTTGGTCAATAAAATTTTTTGTTTGTTAAATCACTATTAAATGCGTTGGAAATGTATCAAAATAACAAGTTTGTTCAATCAGATGTTAAATGCGTTGGATTTTTTTATAGGATTCTTTAACTTTCGGATCCGCAAGGGATAAATAAAAATAATTGAGGCATACGAGTACCTATCTGCAAACCTTATTTCTAAATGTATAACAATGTTATTTAATATTTCATAAAATACAATTCGCAAAGATATTTGACTTAGCCGCTTTTATTAACATATCGAATTGAAATAGCACACTGAGACATTTCTGTAATATCTGCTGTATCGTCTTCTTGCACCGAATAAAATAACGCGCATTTTTATTTCGGATTCTTTTATTTCTGTGGCGTGTTCTGAAATACAACCGGTTATATCATTTTGAATAATCTCGGACAAGTCCGAAAAATGTTCCCAATTTGCTTGAAACGTTTTTTGAATTTTCATATAAAAGCTTTAAATGCTACGTATAATGAATCATATGAAATATCTTCTTAACGAAATGTGATATATCCCCTTATGAAATATCGGGAATATCCCCTTAACGTATTTTCATACATCCGTTATACGTTGATACGTTGGTCCGACGGTGCTCTGATTGGTCATAGTGTTTTCGTGCCACTTTTCATCCGTAAATATTTTACTTCAGCCCATCAACGGACCCGTTCATACGATAACGGACGTTTTGACATTTTCTTGACAAATTTAATCTAACCTTAATAAAAATATAAGTAAAATAGCAAAATCGTTATGGAAACGCAAATATAAAATGGCACCAACATATATCCGATAAACGGAGGCATGAAAATGCAATAAATTTAAAAACTGCGTTATTTTCTAACCAATGAAAGTCTTTAAATTCTACCAATAAAATTAATATCATATCAACGTATCGTTGGACAACGGATACATTAAAATCGACCGGTGATTTCGCCTAAGCCCCGCCTTAATACGATACAACTCCGACTTACGTCGCGTCGCTACCGCACGATGAGTTAAACAGAGACAAAAGACTGCCGTACGTCGTGCATCGACTTTGATAGTAGGCGATGGAGAAATCACCGAGCAAACTCAGTCCAACGGTCAAAATTACTTTGTTTTCTAACGCAGCGGCACAGTCAGCGTACGCCAGCGATAGTGAATATTTTAATATACAAGACCACAAATATTAAAATAATATTGATTATTAAAACACACTTCCGTGTATTAACTATATTTTTATGTATTGGATAGTAAATAATGTAATGTAATAAACCGCTTAAATTCTGCCAAAATTTTAGGGTAGGCGCCGCCTACCTTGCCTAACCTGACGAGCCGCCACTGGGTCATAATGTTGTTTTGTTCAGCTTTCAACCAGTTGTGAGCCCATCTCTGTGTAATATTAAACTAAGTTTCTATAGTAGTTTAGTATTTTAGTTTTTATAGTTGGAATTCTGGAATGTAGTCGGTTCTTTTTTGCATCTTCCATACAATTATCTAGTGGAAGTTTTCTGTTTTTAAGTATCTTTCTATATTCTTTGATCAGCCTCTTGGTTCGGCGGAGGTGACATGGTGGGAAATCTGGTTTTTAACTGTGCGTCAATCTTTTTATATGAGAGCTGTTCTAACTATACTGAAGCATAGTAGTTCGCTACAGAGTAAACAAGTTCTACAGCAGCAGACGATCTAAATGTGGATACTGATGCTCCCCATGTCGAACAACAGAGTTTCTTGATAATATTGTTTCTGGTTTTTAACTTTTTTAGCAGTTTTATAGGTGCACTTTAAAAGTTAATGTTCAGTCGAGAGTGAAGTCTAAATATAGGTTTTTATTACGATTAAGTAATGTGTTATCGAAGTAGACATTAAGTTTCTTCTTGGCCATATTGGCATATCTGCAGTATCTAGGCTAAACACTAGGCGCCAGTACCGATCCTTGCGGCAGACAATTCTTAAGCTTTCTGGGGGTACTGATTTCTGATCCCATTATCACCTGAAATACTCTGTCTTTAAGCATATTCTCTATTAATTTCGCTGTGAGTTTACAAGGAATTTTATATTATACATAGGAATTTGTATATTATTCTCTCCCTCCGAACAGTATCATAATCTGCCGACAGATCAATGAATACTGCAGGGTGTTCTATTTTTCTTCAAAAACCGGCTTCGGTGTATGTAGTGAGGGATAATACTTGATCGGTGCAGCTACTTGTTGATATGAAATCGGCTTGTTCAAATGGAATCTCTTTGAGTATAGCTGGGCTTATTCTATTATAGATTATTCTTTCTAGTAATTTGTACATCATTGACAGCAACGCAATTGGTCGATAACTTCTTTGCTGATCAGCTAATTTATCAGGTTTTTGGACAGCTATTATATTTGAGCGTTTTAATTTTCGACAAATTTCACCAGTCTGCATTATATTTGTAAAGAAACGTGCTAACCAAACTCTTGTGTATTTTTCGCAGTTGAGAAGGAATTCAGGATGGATTTCGTCAAACCCTGGAGCTCTCCCAGGGGTAACATTCTTAAGGGCAACTGTTATATTCTCGATGGCGAAAGAAGTGTTCATTTTCTGCTGATTGGGAATTTACGATTTTAGATGTTCTTTTGCCCTTTATGTGTGAACTAGTCTAGGTGCTTTGGATATCTCCACAATGTGACAGGCCACTAAATTTGAACTTACGTATTTTTTAGTTTTTGAAGAGAATTTCCACCTCCAAGTTTTCTCAGTAGAGACCACGCTTTTCGACTTGATATTTGGAAGTTTAGGTTTTTAACTGTTTCAATCCATTTTTAATTAAATATTAACACTATATATTGATATTTGCCGACATTTCGGAGAGAACATTCCATCACCAAAATATTTTATGCAAAAAAAAATAAAAAATAAAAATGCAATACGGCATTTTATTGAGCATCAAATTGCGCAGCTTTACCTCCCTTTAACCGATCCTGTATCTCTTATGGTTTCCGAAATCCCAATGATGAGCGTCGACTTCGAGCCACTACAGTAGAAATCAAGAAAACAAATAAGTTGACACAAAATATAATTTATGTAATACACTTATAATTTAAATTTTAATAATTTCCACAATGTAAACGAACAAAAGTTTATCAAACTGGAAATGGAGGCCTGGTTTACATTGCAATTGTTCGTTTTGCTATCAAAACGTTACCCCAGCCAACCCTTCATTTCCTTTGAAATTAATAAGCTTGTTTTTAATTTTAACGCCGCTAGTCTTAGACACACGCCTACAGACAAGCGATAAGAAATATCGATTTTATAAATTTAGGCCCGCTGCTGTCACCCGACTCCCACTCGATATCAAATTTCACACTAAATAAAGTAGGCGAGTCTGTTTTCTATAGTATGACGTATTCTCCTTCACTAATTAGAAATATAACTATTTATCAGTAGTCTTTTGATAAAAAGGGGTTATCTGCAAGTTTTTAATTGTTTCGTTAGACGAATAGTTATGATGAAGCAGGCTTTGATTTGTAACCCACAAAATTCTAAAAGTTACTTGATTGTGGAAGTATGCTTTGGAATTAAATAAGACAATAGAAAATTTCATTAATAACTCATATTCTATTAACAAATTTTACAATTCTACTACAAATGGCTGTGACAGTCTTATCAGTAACAAATAACTGCAATACTTTTCGCTTCGGTTGGTTGGGAGAAAGGCATCACTCTCTTCGCTGCACTCATCCGCTGGTGGGCAGCGTGATTGTCCGGCTAACGTTGGAGAGCTTGTGAGACTCCACCAGTCTCAGTGCGTGAGCTACTTATAGGGAGGGAAAATTCTCATATCTTCCTAGTAGATTCTACTCAGCACAATTGATAAGTATCCAGTTTTGTACAATAATAATACTATAAAAGGGGGAGCATCAATTTTTATTGTCTTTTCAATAAAAACGACTTGAAATAATTTTCGTTCTTTTTTCTCCAATTTTGTTTATTTATCAATAATTACAACTGATAA